GAAAAGCATGTGGAAAAGCATAATGATATGGAAGCATTTTTAAAAACTAAACATCATATATTAATAAATGAAAAATTAAAAGAAGAGATATATATCATTAAGGAAAGGGTTATACCTGCTTTTAGATATAGGTGTAAAGTTTTTGATGATTAATTGATAGTAAGGCACTATGATTATTTTTAAAATACTGAAGCAATAAATTCTATAATGAAAAAACAAACTACTTGAAGGTGATAGAAATAGCTTTGGATAGAAAGATTGTGGGCTGTCTCAGAATTGTCTTTTCCATATGTGGCACCTTATTTAAATCCAGTCCTACCTTTGTACCTTCAGATCTTTTCTTCAAATGAACACCGGCAGTAAACTCATGACTTGTGAACATACACTGCTGTCTGTCATTGTGATTGTATCAAAACTACAGAAATTACAGATTGTCACTAAAGGAAAAATAAATTCTCACAAGAACTTTCTTTTTTCAAAGAACTTTTTTAAGGCAATTTTTACATCCCTATTCTTTAGACTATAGATTAGGGGATTCAGCATTGGAACAACAGTAGTATAAAACACTGAGGACACTTTCCCTCGGTTCATGGAGCTGACTGATGAGGGCTGCAGGTACATGAATGACAGAGAACCAAAGAATACAGCAACAGCTAAGATGTGGGAGCTACAAGTGCTGAAGGCTTTAAACCTGCCCTCAGTGGAGCGAATGCGGAGAATGCTGGCTATGATGAAGATATACGAGCTAAGAATGGTCAAGGCTGGGAGAAGAATATTAAATGCACTTAAACAGAGAGCTACTACCTCACTGACAAAAGTGCTAGAGCAGGAGAGCTCCAGTAATGGCAAAAGGTCACAGAAGTAATGGTTTATTACATCAGCCTTGCAGAAAAGCAATCTCAGCAAACAGACTGTGTGAGCCGTGGCACCAACCAAGCCCATGCTGTACACCTCGGCAAACAACCAGCAACATACTTGAGGAGACATGGTAACATTGTAAAGCAAGGGGCTACAGATGGCAACATAGCGGTCATAAGCCATGGTAGCCAACATGTGACATTCTGAGATACCAAAAACTAAGAAGAAGTAGAGTTGAGTCATGCATTGAGGGAAGGAGATAACATTCTTTTCCATCACGAAATTGACCAGCATTTTGGGGGTAACAATAGTGGAATTACAGAGGTCAATGAAGGACAGACTGCTG